CACAGAAGGCAGAGGCTCTAGATGGTTCAGTGTACTCAGGTAACTTTAACTACAAACTACTTGAGGCTGGAGCAATAGCATGGTGGGGAAGGGCGTTTCCCTCGCACGTGGCCAACCCGGGTTCGATTCCCAGCATCCCATATGGTCCCGAGAGCACGGGCAGAAGTAATTCCTGAGTGCATGAGCCAGGCATGAGCCCTGTGAATCGCTGGGTGTGACCCAAAAAGCAAAAAATAACTAACTAAATAAATAAATAATTACAAACTACTTGTAGTCATGGCTAGAGAAAATAGGCTGAAAATAGATTTTACCCAGTATATTTGTGGGTATATTTTAAAAGCCTAAGAACAAACTGTAAAAAAATTATCCACTCTTTTTGGTTGCCTGTTCAGATCCTGCCAATTGTATCCAGAGATTAGGAGCAGGGTCAGAGTGGTTATTGGTTTGTTTGTGTTTCCTGAAACAAAGACTTCTCACAATTAGCCATTGATCCAGCAGATAGTATTGTTGGAATGTAAATGACAAGGCAACCAAATGACAAAAAGCCCCCTAATAACAGACATTCAATGTCTCCTTTTTCTTTTTGTAATTGCTATCAAACTGGTGTATAATTTCTGAAAGTAAAACAAATAAGAATTTAAATTTAGATTACTGAAAAAAGTTTTCATTATACTAAGCTTTCTATGCATATATTATTCAAATATCGAAAACTGCTAAGTTTTGGATGTGTTACATTTTACTGTATGTAGAATTTAACCTTTCATATTAACTTTTTATATCAGATATCAAGCAGTTAATTGTTACTGTTTTAGGAGTTATATATTTAAATAGTACATTTAACTTAACTTGGGCTGGAGTGATAGCACAGCAGGTAGGGTGTTTGCCTTGCACACAGCCAACATGGCTGACCCGAGTTCGATTGCTCGGCCCCTCTCGGACAGCCTGGCAAGCTACCCATGACGTATTCGATATAACAAACACAGTAACAATTGTCACAATGGAGACGTTACTGGGCCCACTCGAGCAAATCAATAAACAACGGGAGGACAGTGACAGTGATTTAACTTAACTTACATTTAGAACTTTAACAAATTGTATGAATTAAGTAAATTTCATGCTGAAACTTGTGATAGCTTCCTGCAGAAATGATTACCATTACAATCATTCTGTGTGCACTAAGCTCTACATACATCTATTCTTTGGATCTGAATTATCCTTTTTTCTGAAGACCTACCATACTTAGGTAGTAGCACTATAGCACTGACCTCTCATTGTTCATCAATTTGCTCGAGCAGGCACCAGTAATGCTTCCATTGTGAGACTTGTTGTTACTGTGTTTGGCATATCGAATACGCCATGGAAAGCTTGCCAGGCTCTGCCTTGTGGGCAGGATACTCTCGGTAGCTTGCCGGGCTCTCTGAGAGGGACGTAGGAATCGAACCCGGGTCAGCCGCGTGCAAGGCAAACGCCCTACCTTCTGTGCTAGAATTTAAATAACTAGAAGAAAATTTTGTGATTTTATTTGCTATATTAATACTCCTTAAAGTAGTGCCATGTGTTTAGTATTCCTATAGGTTTATTTGTTTTGTGGGCTTTTTTTTTGGGGGGGGGGGGGAACCTGGCAGTACTCAGGGCTTACTGCTGGCTCTGAGTGATCCCTGAGCATATGGCACTTGATGGTATGCCAGGGTTCTAACATGATTCAGCCACATACAAGGCAAGCACAGTACCACTGTACTATTTCTTGGCCCCTTGTAAAAATGCCAATAAATAGACATTTTAATTCTTGAAACTCCTCTATTTTTAAGTGACTGAGTAGTTTTTAGGATAAATTAAGGCTTTTAGATAACCATGTTAACATATAGTTAATAAAGTGTTGTAAATATCTGAAATCCACCCCTCTTGCCCCCCCCCCCCCCAATTTTGGAATTCTTGGTCAGTTAAGAAATAAGAGAAATTCTCAAGATACTTAATAGTATTCCTATTAATTTAGTCAAGTGGAGGTTCAGGCAGTTAATTTAAGTGATCAACCTCCAGCCCCTCTCCAAAAGGTTCAAAATGAAGTCATTTATGCCAAGCCCAAACAAGTCTTAATGCCTAATCTAATTATGTTTTTAGTCTCTCCCAACAGTATAAAGTTTAAACAAATCAATCTACTTTCCTGATCTTCAATAGTGAGATTATCTAGGAAAACTTCTTGCATTTTTTTCTAAGGGAAGGTGGCTAAACCTGAACCTGAAACAGCCTTTCTTTACTTTTGCTGATAACACTGTCTCACCCTTTTTTTCCCCTGCAAAACCATTCCATTTTACCTAACTACTTGCAAGTGGGATGCTGCCCAAGTCATGATCATTTAATATACCAAATTACTTCTATAGAATGAACACATTTGAATTTTGATGATTTAATACCTCCCAAGTCATAATACATAATTATAAACATGTCAAACTCAGTAATGGATTTAAAATATGGTTTGAAGTAATGATGGTTGAAAAAAATCATGGCAAAAAAAATATTACTAAGAGGTCAAGGATTCAGGAAATAATGATTTACATAATTACTAAAAGGAGACTTCAAATTCAGTTCTAGAACTTCTACCAAACTGAAAAAATTTTTAACATTATAAAAAGAAAATATATAAGTTCATTGATAGAAATTATTTTTGCCTTAGAAAGTTTGATGTTTTTGTTGATAAATATAAGTTGTATGCAGAAAAGATAATCAGTTTAATGAATCATCCCAAATACAGCAACTAGGTAAAGGTAAAAAGGTAAAGGCCCTCCCGTTGATCATCGATTTGCTCAAGCAGGCCCAGTAACATCTCCATTGGAAACTTTGTTACTGTGTTTGGCATATCGAATATGTCACGGGGAGCTTGCCAGGCTCTGCCGTGCGGACGAGATAATAAAGTCTATGTATTTTTACTAGCCATGTTCCTAGGACTGAGATTGTTAAGATCAAAAGTTGTTTTCCACATTGGTTGTAGCTGTATGTCTACAGTGTTTGTACCAAGACATACTCTCATAAGTAGTAGTCATCAGACAATTATTTCATTTTAATACCTTAAAATTTTTCTTAATTTGACAACTTTCATAATCTATTTACAGTATTATGGAATTAGAATATTATGAAAGTTCAGGGGATTATGTACAATATTTACATATAATTCTATGGAATTTCATGGGTTTACACAATATATTATGGAATCTAAATGGTTACAATATTATGAAATTCCAGGGGTTTAGCTTCTATGTGTAGTTGTCACCACTCCAACCACCAAAGTTAATTAATGCATTTAAGAGTGTAAAGGAGAAACACAGGGTCTCAAGCAGATAAAGCATCTTCTCTAGCACAGATTCTCTAGTACTATGATTTATTTTTCACTTTCTCACTTTTTCACTTTCAGATCAGGCTGAGAACTATTTTATCATTGAGATTTTCTCTTTTGGAGAATCTACTAAAGTGTCTGACTCAAACGTTATTGATAGTCTTTTTCTTTATGATTTCTATCAATTCTTCATGTATTTTGTATAAAGGCCCTTAACTTTTAATTTTTGAGAGCGTCTTCTCTCAATCTATGCCTTGTCCTTTACATCGCCTTTAAAGCTGTCTTTGGATGGACAGTAGATTTCAATTTATACAATGAATGTAGTCACATTTACAATTTTTTTCTTCATGGTTGACAGTATGTGCAATTTAAAATTATCTGTCATTAGGTAATTTGCATTAGCTTCTTTAATGTTTCTTATTTTCAGAATTAAATATCATCACTTTGTACTTGTTTGGGGCTTAAGATTTAAAGAGCAAGTTAGATTTATTTCTTTTTCATGGTAAAATCAAATTCACCAACCACTATTATCATGACATCCTTTAAGGGTTGGAACTATATTACAGTGGGTAAGGCATTGCCTTACAGACTAATGGGGTTGAACGCAGAGCCAGAGTTAAGTCCTGAGCACTGTTGGGTGTGGTCCCTAAAGCAAAACAAAAAACAAAATCCCTTTTCCCACTGCTGGAAGTTATCTTTGTACTAAATGTTCATTTAAGTAAAGCTGTTTCCAGTTCCAAGCTCTAGGTTCTGTTTCTTTAATCTTTGTCAATCCCTCATAGATTTTCTTGGATACTTTCAGTTACCTGGATTTCCACTGATATTTAAGATAAACCCACCAACACACACACACACACACACACACACACACACACACACTACTGCCACTGTAACAACATTGGATATTCAATCCATTAACATAACATAATCTTCTATATATTTAGATCACTTTCCCTTTCAAAATTTGCAGTATTTCTCTTTAGAGGGGCATTGCAAACTGTGGTTAAACTCATCTCTGGAAGAAACTATATTTCTTTAAAAGTGCCATTGCCGATGATAGTTGGAAATCATCACTGGACAAAAACTGAGTGCTGAAAGTAAACTGATACACATCCTACCATTTCAGTATTAAAAGCCACAGTGCCTGAAAGGAAATATGAGAGAGACAGAGACAGACAGAGAGGAGAGGGGGTAGTTTCTGCCATAGAAGCAGGCTGCATGTGGGGGCTGACAGGCGGGCAACAAGGGACACTGATGGAGGGAAATGTGCACTGGTGAAGGGATAGGTGCTGGAACACTGTACACTGAAAATCACAAACAACTTTATAACAGCATCTCAAGGTAATTTCAGTAAAAATAAAAACTGAAAGTGGCATTGCCAGTTACCCCGTTCGCATCTACTGCAATATAACTGCCCTTTCACTACCTAATAACCATTAATTGATATTTCAATTTTCCCTAAACATAAATAAGTACTCTCGGGGGTTGGGGAAGCTTTTATTTCTTCTTAAACTGTATCTTATATTTCCTCCTTTTAAAAACACTAAATCGCGCAATGACCAAGCGAATTCAACCCTCTTTCACCTCCCAGGCGCTCAGGCTCATCCCAAACAGCCAGTTCTAAACCCCTCCATCACTGGTCCCTTTTAATCCCGAGCCAGAGCCAAACAGATTTGGGAACGGGTGCGGAAGCGCCAGCCGTAGCCCTCCCGCCCGCCCCGCCCCCGCGCGACCGCAGCCAATCAGCGGGCCCCTCTTAGGAGCGTCCCAGTCAGCCAAAATGGCGGCGGCCGTTGGCGCGGGATTCCGCTTTTGGTGCCGTTAGCCTTCTCTCATCGCAAAATGTGAACGGGAGAACGGTTGTAGGAGGGAGGTTGCAGGCCATGAGTCGGCGAAGGAAACATGGGGAAAGCCCAGGCCTGAAGAACACGCCGCGCAAAGCGATGGCGGCTGAGGACGGCAGCTCGGTGGTCGAGTCAGGGAAGAGGCGGCTCCGGTCGGCCCGCGGCTCAGGGCTCGGCGGGGCTGCAGAGGGCTCACCTCGCCCCACGCTGCGGCGGGAGCAGCCTCCAGCAGCCTCTTCGTGCAGTAAAAGTAACCCCGAGGGTGAGATGCCGGCAGCGCGGCTCGAGGCTTCAGCGCCGTAGCCTCCCCGGGAAGCTGGGGGGTGCGGGCGGGCGGGGATGGAGTCCCGAGTGTTTGTTTCCCTGGCTCTCGGCCGCTGGCCTCCCGAGTTCCTTTCAAAATCACCCGATCGCCACTCCCCCCCGCCCCAGCCCGAGGGCCCGAGCCCGAGCACTGCCCAGCGAGTCCTGGTCAACTCACTTCTCGCCCTCGCCGCAGGCCTCCGCCCCGGCCTTTACCTGTCCGCTGGGGAAGCGAGGGGAGCTAAACTGGGGGCTGTTCCTCGGGCCACCGGCGCGCCAGGAGGAAAAGCCAGGTGACCCGCGCCCTGCCCTTTGCCCTTTCAACCCGGCCTCCCCGACCGACTTCAGAGAAGGAGCCCCTAGTCTCAGCGAGCTGCCCCAAAGCCCGGGTCAGACCCGATTCCTCCGCGAGGAAACCGGAAGTCCGGAGGCGCTGTGCCCCGCACAGTCGGGAGCTGAGCGGCACTCGCTGAAGGCTTTCATCCATAGCGGGAAGTTTGTGTGTGTGTGTGTGTGTGTGTTCCATATAACAAACCCGACTTCTCCAGGCATAGAAAAGAATCCCGGTGTGTGTGTGTGTGTGTGTGTGTGTGTGTGTGTGTGTGTGTGTGTGTGTGTGTGTGTTCCATATAACAAACCCGACTTCTCCAGGCATAGAAAAGAATCCCGGTAGGACTTTGCAGCGCTCTCCTCCGGCGTTTGTTAGCTGCTAGCCTGTAGTTCACTTGCATAAAGCTCTTTCAGAGGCACGGAAAAAGATTAAAACATCCTCCCAAGATAAGTCAAGTTTTTAAAAGTAATTCGTCTAGATTGTATGTAGAGTATAAGGAGAAAGGGAGCGCACCATGTACCTCAAATCTACTGGGGTGTTAATTGGTTTTAAAAGGATCAGTGAGTTACAAGTGGTTTCCAGTGCCTCTTGACTCTCCAGGGTTAGTTTCAGTGAGTCGAACTACTAGTTTTTACAGTATTAAACACCGATAGAGCTGCTAGCTTGCAATACTTGACTTTTTCCATTGTCAAATTTGAGTGAGACGAGATTTGAAGCATAGTAGTCAACCGTTGTCTTTTTTTTTTCTTACATAGAAAAGTACGAAACCCCAGAGAGAATCCTGAAAATGGATTTATTGTCATCGACCTTCAGTTCTCCTAATGATCCAGATGGACAGAATGATATATTTTGGGATCAAAATTCACCAATGACAAAACAGTTAGGTAATTGTTAACATTTTTACTTGGGTTAATACTTGGTAAATAATGAGGTTATATAGACTTTCACTGGATTTTATAGTCTCTGAGTCTTGGCCGTTGATGGGATTACACGGCGCCAGAGGGCCAGGTGGTGGGTGTGACCCCCGCCTACTGGAATTTGGAGGATCTGGGTGGAGGTTGCTCGACTCCAATTCGAGTAGGCTTGGAGATCTCGGCCCCGGAACCCGCGTGGCTTTGTCCCTCTGCCAGTACCTTCATGTGTGCGGAGAGTGGTCTCAGCATGGTGGTGGCTGGTCCTGGAGGTCTTTGGCTGCCGGAGCCCTGGTCGGGCGGGGAGGAAAGCTCAACCCGCTCCCCTCCAAGGGACCCCAGCGAGGAACAGCCAGGCGCAGGGGCAGCAGACTGACTGCACTGGTCTCATCTTTTTATGATATCTTATTATCTCGTTCCTACTCTGGACAAACTTGCAGGCTATCACATATAGCCTGCCCACAGGGCAGAGTCTGGCAAACTCCCCGTGGCACACCAAATATGCCAAATACCAGTAACAATGATGGGTCTCATTCTCCTAAAGAGCCTTGAATATAATCTCAGGGCTAGGATGAAAGAGACGTTACTGGGGCCTGCTCGAGGCAATCGACGAATAGACTTTCACGTAAGTAATGTCAAGATCATCAGATTTTATTGCAAATATTATGTATCTTTAATAAGCATATGATCTTAGGGTATAGTGACCTATGTGGTGCTAAATAAAATCGTTTTCTAAGAAGCGGTTTCTATGTTTAAAGATTTAATGGATTGCTTAGTTGGGTGCGTTACAATTTATAAAAATGTTTTTGTTTGTTTAGGTAAAGGAAGGAAAAAACAGATTTACACTACAGATAGTGATGAGATTTCACATATTGTCAGCCGAATTGCTCCTCAGGTAAACATCACTAATTTTGTAGTTTATTTGAAAACTGAGGAATTTACCACTAAGTCCTCATTTAAGTCATATGAAAAATATTTTGCAGTTTACAATTTTCTTTGCTGGAAATAGAAGCATCAAATGTGACATTGTCTACTACTGAAATGCAGTTTTGGGGGAAAATGTAAATTTGGAATTAGGGTTTCCTAAACATGTATCTTCGGTTTTTATAATGATAATTTTGTTTTGTTTTCATGCCACACCTGGCTGTGCTCAGGGCTTAGTTCTGGCTCTGCGCTCAAATATCTCTCCCAGCAGGGCTCAAAAATCATATGGGCTGCTGGGGAATGAACTGGGTCTGCCACTTGGAAGGCAAGTGATGTACTATTGCTCTGGCTACGGGTGTATTTTTGTTTTGTGGTCACACCCAGGGATGTTCAGGGATTACTCCTGAATTTTCAGTCAGAAACCATTCCTGGAGGTGCTCTGAGGTACCATAAGGGATGCCTGAGATCAAACCCCTGTTGGGCATATGAAAGGCCTTACCCACCTCTCCTTCTGTCTCCCTCTCCATTCTCCCTCCCCTCTTTCTCTCTTCCCCCATCTTTTGCCTAGACTTAAAAAAGATCGGGGCTGGAGCAATAGCACAGCGGGGAGGGTGTTTGCCTTGCAGACCCGGGTTCGATTCCCAGCATCCCACATGGTTCCCTGAGCACCGCAAGGGGTAATTCCTGAGCGCAGAGCCAGGAGGAACCCCTGTGCATCGCCGGGTGTGACCCAAAAAGAAAAAAGAAAAAAAAAAACCAAGTTGTTTAGCGATATATGGTATCACTTTTCAAGTTATTAAAATAATCAAGTGGTAAAAATTTCAGATTTGCCATCGGGAGTCTTACAAGAAATTAGATAAAAATCCTTGGTATACTATAGGATACTACAAATGCAAGGTTTCTAATATTAGAGACATCTTTTAAAGTGGTCTATTTCAGTCTTTATACTGCTTGAGTGAAATAGAAATAGCCTCTGTTCAGAACCTTTTTTCTGTTTCGCAAAGTTTGAAACTAGAAATAATCAGGATTTTGCTTAGTATCTGGTCTGTGAGGGAAAAAAGTAGTTTTTGTTGGTATTTCCTTCGATAGCATTATGTTGACCCATAAGTAGTAGGTAGAATGGCCCAAACTGGCTAGGAACAATCATCATTTTCCACTTTGAGGAGACAGGGAAATCAAGTTTTCTTAGTGGCTATATAATGATCTGAAATAATAACCAGTCAAAACAACTCTGTTGCTACTAGCTCTACATTCCATATTTGACATGTCATAAAAATTCATTTTACATTGGTTCATTAGTTAAATGGCATTTATGCCATGATATTCTTTACTTTGTAAGTTAACAGTAGATCTTCATTAATTGTGGGTTTTGCATGAAAGAAGCATAATAAAATGTGTTTGGACTGGCCAGCCTAAGTAGCGATAAAAAGATAGTCGACTAAATTATTGGACTCTTTACCTTAGTATGTTGGAAATATTAGCTCACATAAAGAAGCAGCAACAATATACAAGTAGTAACTTGTGTAAAAGAAAGAAAGTAGGAAGTTAGTAGCTTTGAAATGTTGTTAGCACTTCTGAAGCATATAGATCTTTGACAGTATCTAAAAGCTTGTGATCCCAGTGACATACTCATGTTGTTTGGATGTGTTGTCCTCAAATAATTAAATCACCTTAATGTTTTCAGAGATTTAAAAAGTATTTATCTTATTTTAATTGAATGATAGCATTTTACACAGTTTATTTGAACAGTCTATTTTTCATCATTGTATACAGTTTTATGAGACACTCCTTATGATCAAATTATGTTTTGATATTTTATACAATATCTCGATTATAGTTGGAAGTAAATAAAATATACAGTCATTGATGAAAATAAATTTGTGTGGCACTGGGGATTTAACACAGGACTTCTCAAATGCAAGTTATGTACTCAACTGCTGAGCCACACCCATGCCCTCATAAGAAATTTTTAAATACTATATGTATGTTTCTAGACAAGTAATAAATATAGTATATACATATACATATGTACATAGCACTATCACTGTCTTCCCGTTGTTCATCGATTTGCTCGAGCAGGCACCAGTAACATCTCACAACAAATTGTGAGACTTGTTGTTACTGTGTTTGGTATATTGAATACGACACGGGTAGCTTGCCAGGCTTTGCTGTGTGGGCGAGATACTCTAGGTAGCTTGCCGGGCTCTCTGAAAGGGGCAGAGGAATCGAACTCAGGTCGGCCATGTTGGCTGTATGCAAGGCAAACGCCCTACCCACTGTGCTATCGCTCCAGCCCCATATATATATACATATATATAAATGTAAAATCAGATATGTAGAGTTGTGATCCATGTATTCACTGAAAATTGAATGAATTTTAAATTACTTGGTAAATAACTCAAAGCTTGTAATTCACTCATTAAGAATATTGTCATTCGATTCTCAAAAAATTAGAAATTGAGCTCCCATTTGACCCAGCAATACCACTCCTGGGAATATATCCCAGAGAGGCAAAAATGTATAGTCGAAGTGACATCTGTACATGTTTGTTCATTGCAGCACTCTTTACAATAGCCAGAAACTGGAAGAAACCTGAGTGCCCAAGAACAGATGACTGGTTAAAGAAACTTTGGTACATCTACACAATGGAGTACTATGTAGCTCTTAGAAAAGATGAAGTCATGAAATTTACATACAAGTGGTACAATATGGAAAGTATCATGCTAAGCGAAATGAGTCAGAAAGAGAGGGATAGACATAGAACGATTGCATTCATCTGGGGGATATAAAGTAACAAAGTATGAGATTAATACCCAAGAATAGCTGAGATCAGCACCAGGAGGATTACTCCATAACTTAGAGGCCAGCCGGGTATCCTAGAGGAAAGGGCAGTTCAGATAGAGAAGGGAGCACCAAATAAAGGATGTTTGGAGGATCCTCCCAGGAGGGGAGATGCATGTCGAAAGTAGACTATGGACTGAACATGTTTGCCACTCAATGCCTCTTTTGCAGACCACAACACCCAAAAGGAGAGAGAGGACACAGGGGATTGCCCTGCCACAGAGACAGGGGGGATGGGGGGATGGGGGTGGGAGGGATATTATCCATGGTGGTGGAAAATGGGCACTGGTGGAGGGATGGGTATCTGATCATTGTATAATTGAAACCAAAGCACAAAAAATTGTAAATCTACAACTTTAAAAAAAAATAAAATACAATAAAGGGAAAAAAAAAAAAGAATATTGTCACTAAATTCCGGGTTGCTTTAGAAGCAAGTGGAAAATATTGAATCTGAAAGTGATTTTTTTTTTCCCACTTTTTGGTATATTTTGCCAAGCTAATACTAGTTAGGTCAAGTGTGCATCACACATCTAAGAAATCTAAGTATTAATAGACTGAGGAGTTTTTGCTGTTGTTTTGTTTGGGGATCACATCCAGATGTGCCCAGGGTTTACTGCTGGCTCTGTGCTCAGGGATCATTTCTGGTGTATCCGGGGTACCATAATGGTGGGCCAGGGACTGAGCCCCAATCAGTCATGTAAAAAGTATTGTAAGACAAGCGCCTAGTCTTACTATTTGTCATACTATTTCTTCTACTTCTGTCCTGAGTATTTTAAAGAACCAAATAGTAAGGATATTTTTTACCATAAGTGTTCTAGTAAATAAAATTAAATTGAATTAATTGAAAATAAATTGCGTTTAAAGTTAATTGATATCTTTATGCCTGAATTTTGCTGGCTACTAGACTCTTAAAAGTCTTCATTTTAAGTAACTTTTAATCCAGTATTCAGAGTGCTTTGCCAGGTGTGGTTATTTTTTATGTTCAAATCATGTAGATAGCAGAGAAATAGAAAATGGCTCATCTATTTAATTTGTTGGTTATTTCTGCCTTATTCTTAGCATCATATTCTTATCTCTTCATACCTACTTCAATTCTACTTAACTATTTCAATTTACAGCAACATGTACTATCCAATTTTTGATGGATTCTAATGGGATTAAGAAAATTTTAGAGAATGAGATGATAGAGAAATAATTCTATAATCTCAGTTCTCACTATTTTTGCTCCAATTTTGGTTTTCATACTTTTTATTTTCATAAATTTATTATGCCAAAATCTGTTTTCTTTTGAGAGACGTACTATTACTACTAAAACATGCGTTAGTTAAAATTAAGGTGTTTTTAAAATAAAAAAATTCTAGTTTTTGGTACAACATAAGTGAATCACTTATTTCAGTTTATTATTATCTTTCAACTTCTTATTTGTACTTCGTTTAGTAACTATTACCTCAGGAGACTTCATTGCAGAAGCAATTTTCAAAATGGTTTGTTTTCTTCCCTCCTTTCGTCCTGTGGGGATGTTGTTCTTTTATACCTTTATGTTTCCCTTTTCCTGCCAAAGGATGAAAAACCAATAACGAACTCAATGCTGGGCATGTGGATTGGTGATACCGCTATTCCCTGTACTCCTGGTGTAGCAAAAGGAAAATCAAGAGCAAAAACATGCTGTACAAAGTAAGTTAAAATATTTTTGCTTACTAAAAAGTCACTTAAGTGGTTATTTTAAATTACATTGTGTTTTGCTTTCTTGAATATATGAAATTGTTGAAATTATTTTTCTTAGTTTTGATATATAAGTTTTTGGATACAATGTGTTGATATTTGTGTTTTAACACTAAAATGTTTAATAATTGACTAATGTGACAGTTTTTCTTTTAAAATTTAATAGGTTAAAAACACAAAATAAAGAAGAAGAACTTATGAAGTTGGCTAAACAGTTTGACAAGAATATGGAAGAGCTAGATGTAATTCAAGAGCAGAAAAAGAGAAATCATGATTTTATTCATATGATATCAGAAGCAGAGACTTTAAATAATTATAAAGAAAATTTACAGATGCATTTATTACTTGACATAGTTCCTGAAATAGATAATGCTATAATAAGGAAGAAACCAATTAAAGAAAACACCGAGGTATCTATGGTAAATGATCAAAATAGCAATCAGAAGCCATTTGACCTAAATGTTGAAGCAGCCTTTAATGCCATCTTTGATGGTTCTACTCAGAAATGCAGTGGAGCATTAAGCCAGGACCTGTCACATGCATTTTTGAACACCAGTAACACTATCCTTGCAAAGAAAAGTGCTTTGAAAGAGGAAAAAGTCATTACTAATGAAACCCTGGTCTATGAAAAGCTGCTAAGTAAAACTCAAAGATCACTTTCTCATCAAGTAGATATTCCTGTGATGGCAAAATCATGTGTATCACCTTGTAGTAAAGCAGCAACCACTTTGAATAAGTGTATTGATACACTTACTGCCAGTGATTTTGAGGATGATTGGGAAAATCTCCTAGGTAATGAGCCTTATATTATGCAAAATGCCAGTACACCTGAACTTTGCCTTGCTGATCAAAAAGGAATTTTAACCTTAAATATTCAAAATGATGAAAGTAATTCAAAAACAAATACAAATCTAGATGTGAGGTTAAAAGATACAAAAAGTTTTCAAGATCTTTCTTCAAAAACACCGAACAGTGAATTAGTAGATGATGGGAAGTTCAGACTTTCCTCAAATCCAAGTGGTAAAGTAAACAAATTGCCATCCTGTGGAAGTAAAATGAAATTTGACAAATCTTTGAGTACAATTGTTCAAGACAAATTTCAGGATTGTTCAATTACAACTTTTCCAAAGGAAGATATCCACTCAAAATTTACTTCTACTGTAAATAGTTTTGAAAAAGGGTCTGCTTTGAACACAGTGCATTCAAATGAACAAAAAAGTCAGTCAAATTTTAATCAGTCTTTCAAAGCTCTTGCTAGTATAGAGCCTTTTGGCTCTTCAACTTTGGACAATAAAGCCATTGTCTGTAACCCAAATCAGACTAATACATCAAAGGTAGGCTCTTTCTTCGATGATTGGAATGATCCAACATTTTCCAATGAAATTATTGAAGCATGTCACCAATTAGAAAATACCTGGGAAGAAGATGATGTAGAAGATGATTTATTATACCAAGCATGTGATGATATTGAAAAATTGACTCAGCAACAAGACAGTAGTGAGGACAGCAAGACATCCGAAAGTATACTTAAAGTCAGTAACAGTTCCAAACTTGATGCCAAAAACATCTTTACTCCATCTAGGCAAGGAAGCCCATCAGCACAATCAAAGCATTTGAATCTATGCGGCATTTCAGTGCAAAAGTCTTCATTGACAAACAATCCACATATAAATAAATCAGTGAAGATGGAGAAAAGGGAAGTTTATGGAAATTCTCCAGGTTTTTTAGGTGCTACAACAAATTTATCTATAAATTCTAAGAGCATAGACTGTCAGGCCAGTAATCGGCGTTTTTCACGAAATAACTCTGATGTTCCAATACAAGTAAATAATTCCAAATTGGTTCTTACAGGAACTTCAACTTCAAGTGCAAGTTCACATCATCTGAGTACAGAAATTGCTCCTTATGAGAAGAATTTAAATACTCAGCATATGTCCCATAAGAACATAAAAGATGAAACTTGGAGAGACCTTAACAGAACAGTTAGATTTTCTAAGTATACTTTTACAAAGGTGAAAAATTCTCAGGTTATTTCCCCGTTTAATCAAAACCACCTATCAGGAAATGTTTCTGACACTGAGGTGCCACAATGTTTAGAAAAAAATAAAATTGTCAACCCATTTTATAGGGAGACTATTCAAGAGCAATCTTTGGTGAAACATTCTGAATCCTTAAAACAACCTTCAAAGGGTATGTATGAAATTGTTTTAGTTTAAACGTTATTTTGGAAAGTAAATGAGTTATTTTTGTAGCATAATACTAGGATGTTTAAGACTGAAGTTCATGAAGTGATTCTTTGAAGTACTGTATATAAAGGTGTGGAATGCTTATGTTTTTGTGACTACATCATATGGTTTTTAATTTGTTTTTTCACTTGTTTTTATTTTTATTTAATCCATGAGCATCCAGCAATGTTCATGGATTACTCCTGGCTCTTTTAGGAATCATCCCTGCTGGGGCTCAGGGGGCCATATATGTTGCCAGGGAGCAAACCTGGACTGGTTGCATGCAAGGCAAGTGCTCTACTTGATGTACTATAAGCACTGGCCCCCAATTTTTTATTTAATATGGTGACTTGTACATAAAGGTATTTGAAAAATATTTGATGAGTGACTTCAATTTTGAGGAAGTATGTACTTTCGGACATGTATTGCTCTGCTATTGTATTTACTAAGTATCTTAAAATCTGGATCATCTTATTACCATATTTAGTGGAACTTTGAGGTCAATATATGCGATTTTAGAATGCTCTCATTGAATACCTTTTCTAGAATAAAATTGGACATAAAATTCAGTGTTTGGATGGTTAGAACTGTACCTCATATAATTTGTCATATTTTGTACAATCTGTCACCTTTAGTTATTCCTACTACTATTTTCTTCAGTTATCTCTCCTTTCAACAGATTCCATCATTTTTCCTGATAAATAGAGCTCAGAGTCAACCATTGTTCTTGCTCTCTACCATTACCACCTGTAAGCCAATGTTTATTGATTAGATAGCTCTTGATAGTTGGCAATTCCTTTACATTTTTCTTTCAATTTTCGTCACCATCTTTTTGTAAACAAAAAGTATTATTTTGGTATGCTTTAGCACAACCTTAAATAGTTGCCCATCATTTTGTTTTTTGTTTGGTTGTTTTTCTGTCTGCTTGGGGGCCACATCTGGCAATGCTCAGGGTTACTCCTGGGTCTACACTGAGGAATCACTCCTGGCGGTGCTCAGGGGACTATATGGGATTCTGGGGATTGAACTGGGTTTGCTTTATGCAAGGCAAGTGCCCTACCAACTGTTCTGTCATTCCAGCCCATACCCCAACATTTAGTAAATAAAACAATAAATATTTTTTATTCCTGTTATTTTTAATCAGGAAGTTTTGCTGATCTACACAAGGCTCTGGATTATCTCTCCATGATCTGCTTCTTCTCTTTTCCCCTTTTATGCTCAACTTTAGTTACACCAGCTGTCTGTCTTTGAGTTCCTCAAACAGAATAATTTCTTTTCTACTTCAGAAACTAGATGGCTCTTTGTCATTTGCTATCATCTCTTGTATCTTTTTATTTTTATCACAGGCTTTTAATATTGCCCTTTGTGTTGGTGATTATATAGACTTGGTACAGCACCTGTTCCTTAGATGATACTTAATAAATATTTGAATGAACCAGGCAATGCAATAAAGTTTGATATAAGATGACTGATATTTTCTTAAAGGGATTCTAACTTAACTACTTGTGCTTCGTAATGCCTAATGCTTTCTCACAGCCTCATGTTTTCACGGTTGCTTTTTAATTCACTGAAAATACAGTGCTGACACAGAAAAACCAGATCTAGCCACTGTCTTTTAACACAGTGATATAATGGATATAAATGTTTACTTCCAGTGCTATATATCTGAAACATGTAATGTTATAAACCAGTGTTTTATAATATAAAATAGTCATTTAAAATAAATACACCAAGAGTGTATTTTGAAGTCTCCAGGTGGATTTATATTTGCACTTTGAGATTTCTATAATACCTTGTCTAATTTCTGTTACAGAATTTAATACTCTACTGATTAATATTTATTTTCTTGGTCTGGCTTATTCCCTTGGACTTAACATTAAGATTGTTATCTGTTATGTACATTAATGATAAAATGGTGAGAGGTGTTTTGTTTTTAATTAAAAAATTTGTCACTTTTCCTTTTGTTGTGATAGCTCAGGGTCTCATACACACTGAATTGTGATACTAGACATATGTGCAATGAAGGTTGCCTTTCAGTAGTAGTACTTACACAGAGATGGCCTTTGCACATGTGCAAGGTGGCAGTCATCCTGTTTCAGTGTGGGTGTTCTTGCACATTCTGATTTTAATCCTCACTGGAGGTTGCTGCACGCGCAGGTTCCCACTTGATGTTGCACACCTGGCCAAAATGCCTGTATGTCTTTGATTGCAGTGCTCACAGGGTAGGGGGGCAAGGGTCTCACACTTACGTTGATGTGCTTACACACATCTGGCAGTGGTATTCTGGAGATTACACTTTCGTAGTATATGGAGACCCTAAGAGCTATGGTTCTGGGACTATCCTCTGTGCATGTGGAAGGCTTCATGGATTGAATTTACTTTATCTTTTCAGTTTCTCCTGTAAGCTTATTGATACTTTTAATCATCCAATATTAACCTTGTTTCTATTTTTTGTTGTTTGCATTTTCTTTAGCAAGCTGTCCTACAAAATAAAACCGATTATTATAATGATAGAATTGAGAAGTTGCAATGAAATCAGTATTACTCTAAAATGTTATATACTAACTTTCCATTTTAAAACAACAAAAAATGTTGACCCTGATTTAGATATAAAGAACAATTATTGCTTTGTATTTGGAACAGTTTGAGATTTGGCTATATATTCTATTGCAGTTTGAGTTAAGAGCCGGTAAGGAAAATGGATGACTCCATAAATCAGATAGTTATGGTGTGACTATCTTGTATCATTTGAAATTATATTACTGATTGTCATATAGAAGATTATTGACCTGTTTTCCTCTCAGACATATGGTCAATTGGATATGAGCTCTGTATGTGTTCATGCTTTTATTTCTCAGTTTCAAGACTAAAATATTAGATAATTAGTCAATCTAATTATAAGTTATCATGTAGTATCTTTCTATTACAAAAAATAGCTATAATATCTGAGATAATTAGCTTAGGAAATAAAAGCCGTCAGAATCATCTTGGGAATTTATTTAAAATGTGTGTCTCTTAATTCTAAACATATCTTCCTACTCCTATTTATGATTATCCCCAATAAAGGAAGGGGAAGCAGGTGATAATTTTTTTTTCTTAAAATTAGAAATGTCTTGGGGCTTAGAGAGATAGTGCATTCGATAAATTACTTGCCTTGCACTTGCCCTACCCAGGTGTGATCCCCTGCACCCTGCGTGGTCCCTCAAGCACCACCAGAAGTAATTACAGAATGCAAAGCCAGGAGTGACCCCTGAGTATTGTTAGTGTGACCCAAAAACTAAAAAATAAATTGTAAGGCTTTGCCTTCATGTAATATAAATACTGTTCTTCCAGTTGTACTGTAGAATCTTTCTTCTCAGGAATATTTTACAAATTAATTAACCTCTGTAAGATCACTTAAATATGTATTAGTGTGATTATTTGAAAACAAAATCTTAATAAGAAAATAGGATTGCTAATTTTAGGTTTGATTATTTTAACTATAATCAAATTTTTTACTTCAAAATGTTAGTTGTGAAGTTAAATTTATTTTATTAGAACTCAGTGTTTTTACAGTAGAATTGGTTATATTAAAATAAAAGGCCCTCCCGTTGATCATCGATTTGCTCAAGCGGGCCCAGTAACGTCTCCATTGGAGACTTTGTTGTTACTGTGTTTAGCATATCGAATACATCATGGGGAGCTTGCCAGGCTCTGCTGTGCAGGTGAGATATTCTCAGTAGCTTGCCGGGCTCTCCGAGAGGTGCGGAAGAATCGAACTCGGGTCGGCCCTGTTGGCTGCGTGCAAGGCAAACGCCCTACCGCTGTGCTATCGCTCCAGCTTCTTATTTTCATTTATTTGCCATTATTTTGTAGTATTTTCATCTAAAATATATTAAGTATGCTGCATAAGAATGTATAAGAATGCTTTACATGTTACATATATAAAAGACTTCAAGACTGGGGAGATGTCTCAGATGGCTGGAGTGCATACTTTGTGGGTCACCAGTCTTTCTACAGTCTTTCCAAGCAGTGCCAGAGAGCAAACACTGAGGATGTAGTTCACCGCATGTGTTTTAAAATAAAAGCAAATCAAAATAATACAGAGGATTCCGATTTGACTTTATTCAGGTATTCTCACTGATTATATTTTGAGTACTTTTCTATTTATGGTTATATAACAAAATAACACATGTTGAGAATATTCTTTATAGTCATAGATTTTAGTCAAACGAATTTTATAAGACTGAAAAGAAAGTAACAGATTGGTTAGTGCCTTTTTTGTGTGTGTGTTTGTTGTGTGGGGTGTACTTGGAGTCTAGTAGTTTGATGTGATTCGACCAAACCAGTGTGTCAAATCTGGATAAATTTTTTTATAAAGAAAATAAAAAAAATTCAAAATGACTCCTTTCTGTAAAACTTACATCTGCATTTTGTTTAAATTTTAGAGGAAGAAGAGAAAAGTAAAAAGTGTTCTCCTGAAGAAATTCAGAGAAAAAGACAAGAAGCAATGGTTCGAAGAAAGGCCAAAGCACAGGCCTCATCTGTAAAGGCAGCTCCCACTTAATTTCTATAATGAAATCTTACTTGGAAGAATTATCAAAGACAATTAATAACTATCTATGATAGCAAAGATTTTCTTCTTGATTTCTCTGTGAGAAATTTAATGCTGTTATAAAGCATGGACTTCTGTTTTTTTAATAAATCACTGTTTGAAATAGTCAGTGAAACATTTCCTTAGAGAAAGATATTGTATTTGCTTATAAGTTTTCAAAATTCAGTAAGATCATCAGTTATACTGAAGGAGGTGGTTATGGTTTTAAATAATTTTGTTTATTGAAGATCATTGAAAAATATGTAATCTGCTTAATTTTTAATTATCATAAGTCTTTTCCTAATACAGAGCTTCATTTTATTAAATTAATAGACTGTTATAGTGTTCCTGTCAGTAACTCTTTCTTAAAGCTTTCAGCTTTTCTGAATTCTAATACTTTCGTATTCTTAGGAACATGGTTGTTGGAAATGAAGTATTTCAGTTTTCAGGGAAATTACTATTTCAGTTACTAATCTGAAATAGATTTGAACTTTAATTTTCTCATGTAATGCATTTTGGAAACTGGACAAAAACTGACTTAATACATCCAAGTTTTTAAAAAATCACGGTTGAGTTTCTTTTTTAAATAATGTATTTATACTAAACAGTCAGAAAATTTAGGCGTCTGGTTCAACTTCAACTTCTTTGTTAGGTGAGAAAAATGAAGAGTTATTCTGAAATTCACAGGCAAGTTGCAGTTGTGATAGGGTAATTAGATTTACTTTTTGATCCCTAGACAAACCTTTTGCTTCAAAATTATTAATATGCAAAATAACTTATTTGTAGGACCATCTATTTTATAGTATAAAGCAAAATAAAAAGCATGTTAAATACTATTTAATAATTTTCATTGCTTTGATTCAAAGAATTTATTATTCCAGTATATAAAAATGAGCTTTCTTTTTTTGGTTTTTCTGTAGTAATTGTAATTTTCCTGTGATTGACTTGCTGAATTCTGTACCACTCTTTTCTCTTCTTATGGTTGTTTGAAAGTTGCCAAGCTAAAAGAAATCTAAGCAAAGGATATATGGAAGTATAGATCTCTGTTCATCCTAGAGGCTATGACATTACCAGTCATGGTTGTTGACACTATTCGGGTGTCTTCGAACCTAATATGTTCAAATGGAGATATTTTTATATATATATATTTATATATATATACATACATGTATAATTTTGAACATTGAATTTTTATATTTGGAATACATTCTAGTAACATTTATTAGTATCTAGGGAATATAAAATGAATATAAATAACCTAGATACAGATACATTTTCTATATAAGAAGATAAAGAAGTGAGAATCTTTTGCTTAAATAGCGTCACTATATTCTTACTATACTTTTCATATCTCTACCTTTGCTTAAATGTTTCCCTGACTTTTCTTTACCTCCTCTAGCTAGTATGTTTTTAGCCTATTCTCTCCGTTCGGTGAAACTAAGCCTTATAAGTTTTATGTTACTTGGAACATGGGTTTCCTGACTATCCTTGTTAGAATTGACTTCTCTCAGATCATGGTGATACTGATTTCTCCTGTCTTTAATGTGGCAATTTTGTAATGCCTTCGTTATTGTGTATGTATTCTAGTAATATTTTTAAAACTTCTCATTTTGCATTCTTTTTTATTTTTACTATCTTTCCATATAACATGTTGCTTGCTATTCACTTAAAATAATTTTCTTGGTGCAACTTTTCTCCCCAAGAAAACTTTATTTGGTATTTAGACAGTGAGTAGAATAACCCAACGCATCTGAACTTGCATAAGATTGGATTTTTGAGGCCTACTCTTGCTACTCACATACTTTTCTATCCTGATACATGGGTCACTTCAGCTATTAGTGAGAATAACAGAGGTTGAGTTACAAATTTTAGTAATCTGGATGCTTTTATTTTAAATCTCTTTTGGAAAACTTAATTTCTTAGTCCAAGATGTAGTTACATACCTCAAGCTACAAGTAAAATTCTGACCATTTAAAGTTTTTTAAAACAAAGTTAGTGAAATAAAATTGTTTCCTTATTTTTCAATCATTTAATATCTGACTATAAAAACACCTAGATTCTGAATTTGTTTTGTTGAAATTTGCTTTAATTAGCATATGTTATGAAAGTTCAGTCATGAATAGTTGGGAAAAGGAACATTACAATAGTTATTCAGATAATTGTCAATTGATAATAGAAAGCTTAGGAAGTGGTACATGTCTGCTATAAGAGCTAACCTAAGAACTACTTAACAACTTTCCAGATGAAGCAAACTAAATAAAAAACTACATTGAAAAGTAGGTTTGAGAACACTGAACTGGGAAATGAAAACAGTGATCCCTGCATATTGACAAATTGATACCTATAGTTTCCCAACTTATTATCTTGGAGTTTCCAGGCCACGGTATAAGTAAGGAAGTTTGACTAAGAACCTGTAGACAATTGAGAGAGAGCTGAGACCATAAGAAGTCCAGGATACCTGTTCACAACACAACTCATCTTTTATCACTATACCCTCTTTATAGCAACAATAAATACAGATTACTTTTTCATGCCAAAATTGTGTCTGAGCAGCCTGGATAGAACCTTATAAGATACTCCAATTCTTAGAAAACTCCAACCATATCATGGAAGAGTCTTGAATAAGAGTTCCCCTTCTTAACATTTATTAAAATGCATAAAAGATTCATTGGAAAGCCAGCCTAATTTCTATCCCTTCTGAATCTTTATCATGACAGGAAGAAGTCCCCTTTCAATAAAATCTGATGTTATGCTATGTTGCTTCTTTGTCATTTCTTTTCTAAGGGTTCAAAGGAATTAGTTACTATATCACATAAAGTAGAAATTCATACTTAAGTCCACAGATCACTATATAAAGTGGATCATCGTACATGATTGTATCATTCCTTTTGAAATCTGTTAGTGATTGGTCAATGAACACTTGTAATTCAGTTCATATAGATAAATACCAGTCAAGCTTGCAGTGTGTTCCATTCTGTGTCCTATTGAGAAACCTACTTAACATTTGCAAAAAGTGAAAACAACCAAACTTTAAAAAGTGCCCTTCAAGGTAGCGAACCTGGAAATATTGGTAAAAGGAATTTGAAACTGATTGTGAGATTGGTCCTGGAACATTGTCTAAAATCCAACTAAGCCCTAAGAACTGGGTATAGCCCAAAAACTAAAAGAAAAAAATAGTAATATGGAATTGTAAATAGTAGTCTATTTAAAAGATGTTTTGTTTCAAAATTTCAAAATTATCAGAAATCATTGATATTAACACATTATTTCATTTTTATTCAATTTATGGGGAAAATACATGAAAATATTCACATATCTGTACAAACTATGTCTGGATTTTATGATAATTGTGATAACAATTGTAAGCATTCATGGATCCAAAATGTCATTCTAATGTGTGACAAAAAGCAAGAGGTAAAGACTTCTAAGAGACAAAGAACAGATTAATCTTGAATAATAAAAATAAATTTTTATGGTAGGGAAGTAAGGCCAAAGGAAGAATATAAAAATGAAATATAAAAGATAAAATGCATGTGTATAGATTAAAATTTAAGACTCTTGAAAATAGGTTTGATTTTAAATAGTTGAAAATTATTTAATAAAATTATACAGTTAGGGGCTGGAGTAATAGCACAGTGGGTGCATGCAGCCGACCTGGGTTCGATTCCAAGCATCCCATATGGTCCCCTGAGCACTGCCAGGAGTAATTTCTGAGTGCAGAACTAGGAATAATCCCTGTGCATCGCCTTGTGTGACCCCCCAAAAATTATATATATATATATATATATATATATATATATGACTGGAGCGATAGCACAGTGGGTAGGGCGTTTTCCTTGCACAGGGCCGACCTGGCCTGGCCGACCCGAGTTCCATTCCTCTGCCCCTCTCGGAGAGCCCGACAAGCTACCGAGAGTATCTCTCCCGCAAGCCAAAGCCTGGCAAGCTACCCGTGATGTATTCGATATGCCAAACACAGTAGCAACAAGTCTCAATGGAGACGTTATTGGGCCTGCTCGAACAGTTACTGGGCCCACTCGAAGAAATCAATGAACAACGGGAGGACAGTGGTGTGTGTGTGTGTGTGTGTGTGTATATATGTGTATATGTATATGTATATGTATATGTATATGTATATGTATATGTATATGTATATGTATATGTATATATACACACACATACCTAGTCTCCTATTTTAATTTTTTTATGATCCATGTTTTAGGGATAACTTGATTCAGGATTTTAAGTATCTTTATATCAGTCTCTCTGTCTCTCTGCTTCTGTCTATCTTCCTCCTCCATTAATGTGCAGATCTCCCCCACGCCCTTTGATCTTTCACTTGATATCTATTGATTTGATCTTCAGCCAAGCTTTCTAATTTTTATCTTTGTAAGGAGACCCCTCCTTTTTTCATTCCATTCACTGAAAAACAATTCTTTTTTTATTTCTGTTTGTTCACATGCAAGCTCTGAGATAGTGGCATTAATGGGAAACCTGTGTCACAAATGGGGTGGTTTCCAAAAAACACAGTGGGGCATATAAAGTATTTCATTTTTATTTTCTTCTGTTGCCTTACTTCCCCCACCATAAAATTTTATTTTTATTAATCAGGATTTACCTATCCTTTGATTCTTAGGTAGAAATAATAGAATTCCTTTCAATATAAGCAACCATATGTCACAAGCACATTTGTCTCCTTTAAAATTTTTGGATGTAGTCTTTATATTTGAGAGAAGGCAGAATACTGCTGATGAAAGGGGTGGATTACCATAGGAAAGAATTGTTGAAATCTCACATAACTCATATTTTTGGTTCCAAGTTGGATATATTCCACATCAAAGAGAGCCAAGTACTTGAAGCAAGCTATGGGATAACATATAGTCACATGTGCCTGGACAAAGTTCTAAAATTAATGAGCTAAACTTAAAACAACAACAAATAATCCAAACTGTCTTGTGTGACAGCCATAAAATATTTAAATGTGTTCAGAAACTTCCCAAGGAAGGTTCAAATATAGAACATCTATATTTCTCCTGCCATGTCAACATTGTTTATCCATCTTTACCTTTTTCCTTTCTGGGCTCTTAATCAAGCTTCTGCTTCT